TACCAAGTTCTCAGAATAACTTCAGTGTTATGGGATAATGGAACGGTGTTTTGAATTGTCGACTTTTTGTTTTCGCGTCTAATGCGCTACGATTGAAAATGAGTTTTACAACTGATGGTAGATAGGCGTTGGTTGATATGGATAGAAATTGCAGCAATATAATTTTCTGTCGTAGGCTTCCGCGGCCAGAGTCATGATCATGGCCAGAGGCACATCAGCCATCGACGCGGCGTCACCCGGACAGCCCAGATCAATATAATTTTATTTTTACTTTCTCACACCTACAAACGTAAGAAGAGAAAGTATTGCAGTCATGCGCCGGAAGATCAAGTTTCCAAATTTAGAAAATAACCTCAAGCACGTGGTGTAGCCAGAATCTATGTTGTATGGGTCCTTGACATCGAAAAATCGATTGACGGCAAAACATCTGTCCGGTTGTCTGCGCACGCTAGTGCATAAACTGTTGAACCGATTTTCTCCCCCCCTCAACAAAGATTCCGTTCTAGCTGATTTCGCGGATCTTGGAATTTGAAATTGAAACTTTAATTTTGGGGGGTACTTTAAGCCCCTGAGACATTTCCAAAAAGAGAAGTTCAAGAGAATCAGGTCCTTTTTCGGTGACGTTTCCGATTTTTCGAAAATTGGAAAAAAATTAAAACTTCAAAATTGGGGAAAGAGATTTTTGTCTTAGACTGTTGCATAAAATTAGCTCTTCAAAAAAGGGCATGTACAATTTTTTGAAAAAAAGAAAGGATTTTTTGCATATTTTGCGATATAAATTTACAAAATAAATTTCTTCAAACTCCGCTCCAAATTTTTTGTTTAAATTTTTACCACACATGAAATAATAAACAATCAGAAATATGGTTCCAGTCTCATTTTCGGGTACTGTTTGTTTTTATTAGCAAATTTCAAAAAAATATTTTCAAAAATTGAAGATAGTGATTTTTGCTTCTGACAAAGTGTGTTGTACAAAATTAGCTCTTGAAAAAAAGCCATTTAAATTTGTTTGAGAAAACGAGTAGTTTTTGCATTATTTCTCAATGTGTTGATATAGACAGAAACCGTTACATAACCGTTTGTAAGGGAGAGAAATTATGTGCTGTTTTTAGCAACACAAGTTTATTGATATGTTGTTGCTTGCTACTGACTTCGATGCCGTGTTCGATATTCACTGCATAACTACCCTAGATCTAGATCATCGTTGTAACGAAAAAAAAAATATGAAAACAGTTGAATATTGCTACATGTTCTCTTACGGAGAGAATTATGAGACGGAATAATGAAAGGGAGTTTTTTATAATAATATTTTATTTTGCAATTTGTTTGGGTATAAAATTTGGCAAAATTACATACAAATTTAATAATATGAGAGGAGTAAGGTCCATCGACCGTACTCCTAATATTACATTTTTTTCACACACACTAAACATATTTGATAACTTAACTAAACTAACATACTAAACATACTAAAAAATATACGATGATAAGCATATATAACAGAAAATAACAGAAAACAATATAACAGTTTATAGTCGATATGTCAGGTCTAAAGTATGAATATGTTTGGTGGTGTCACTATTGTTTAGAAAGTTAATGGCAAGAATATTTTGATGGGTATGTAGTCGTTGTAAGTATTTTGCGCTGGTCTTGTTCATTTCTTCTTTTATTGTTGTCATTTGTATGTCTCGGTGTATTGTGACGTTTGTTACGTCCTAAGGAGCATTTACAAATTTTCTTAAGCTTCCAGATTGGAAACGTAATATTTCAATATTTGAATTTTGAGCTGCTCCCCAAACTTATATTCCATATGTCCAGATTGGATTTAGTAATGCTTTATACAGAAGAATTTTGTTTGCGATGGCTTGGATGAATTTTTTCCTAATAGCCAGTTTAATCTGATAATTTTGAGGTAAATTATTTTATTTTTTTCTTTATATGTGTTTTCCATATAAGTCTTCTGTCCAGTGTAATTCCAAGATATTTTGCCTGAGTGTGTTTTGAGAAATAGGTTGTGATCCCATTTTTTATAGGAGGGCATGTTTCGTGATTAAGCACTTGGGCATACTTCTTGTCATTTGTATTTAGGCGCAGCGTTTTGCACTGTGTGAATGGATTGCAGATGTTCTTCTACGAGACGTGATGCTTCTGCTGGATTTTATGTCGAGCTAAGATGGCTGTGTCGTCCGCCTAGGTTGCTGTAATGTTTCAGATGTTGGAATGTCGGCTGTGTAAATGAGTAAAGGAAAGGTGCAAGCACTCTTCCTTGAGGCCACCCCGGAATTTATAGGGATAAGTTCTGAAGTTACACCGTTACATTTTTTTGAAAATATCTCTCCGTGAGGTACGATTTTAATAAGAGTAAGTAAAATGTAAGTTTTGCTTAATTTCATACAATAAACCTGGGTCGCAGACCTTATCGAAGCTGGCTTATGTTGAAAAAACAGCAGAGCAAATTTTTTTTTTATTTTCTAGGATTCACTAATTTCGTTTACTATTCGATGGATTTGTTCTTAGTCGAATGCCTTTGTCTGAACCCAAATTGATTATAAGGTATTATTTCTTTTCCTTGTGAAGTGGATTCAAACGTGACAGTAGTAGTTTCTCAAAACTTTGGATAGTTTGGTAGAAGACTAATAGGTCTGTATGATACTGTAGCGGTACAGAAATATTCAGATAAATTAAATTGAGTAAAGCAGACCTAAGAAATTTTGTACTGAAGAAAAAACATACGGCGTCACGCGCGCAGCCCCCTTCTTGCAACAGCCACGGTCTCCTGACCCATTTCGAAGGTTTATGACACCCCACCCAACAACCGAACAAAGGGGTAAACTGTAAAGCCCAGCGGGAGCCCACAACTGGAAATACTTCCGAAACGACCTGTCATCGTGATCGGGGAACCCGAAGCAATAATTCAGTAGCGCGGGAAGCCTTCAGAGACGTGACCTACTTTCGAACAGGAGAGGAAGAAATCCTATACTCCGCCGGAGCGCTATTGGCCAAATTTAGTGTACAACACCATCACCTTTAGCCAATAGCGAGCGATCTTGTGTAGGGGCAAGACATATGAGGAGAAAAGGGTGGGGATAAAAGTTAACCTTCGTGCGTTTAAGGAAGAAAATAAAAATTACATTAGGAGAGAGGAACTTCTTGGGGTGGAGCGGTCGGCGGGCAGAGGTGAGTGCAAACCTCCCCGCCGCCCCCCCTCCCCCCCCAGGGAGATGCATTCGCGGACAGGAGGTGGTTGTGCAACTGCTAGGACTGGCACTTCACTGACAGTTTTTATTAGAGAGGAAGTGAAAGGCCTTACGGGGTGGATAGGCAAAATCCTGTTGCCACTGCCTTATTAGCTACAAGAATTCGCATTCCTGAAATTTTCGAGAGAACACCGCAGACGCTTCGGGAGACATATTTTGTGTGCTCCGCACTTGATCGGTGGCCATTACTACCCCGGCGCATTCTACAAACATCCGCCGAAGCAGCCTCCAGACGGCCCCTTCGCTGACGTCACTGAGCCGGGGCGCAGCCGCCGCCAGCGCGCGAGCACTGCGTGGGAGGGTTCGCCCCGACCCGCATTCCTGGAAGGACACCCGCGCCCCACAAGCTCCGTCGCGCTCGCACGGGCCTACTGAGCACATCGGCCCACGAACGGTTCCCAGCAACATAATCAGGGTCATAAGTCCTTAGAGACTATTGTTAAGCGGTGCGCGCTGAGGCACAGAAAGATCCTCAGGCGACAAATTTGTATTGTAGCTACAGAATAATTTTTGTACACTCTCTTTAGTTGTAAGTTGTTCTTAATTTCTAATTTTATTTTAATTTGTTTCACAATTTTCTTTTCATCGATGTAACTTCCCTGTACAGCCTTGTTCGGAATAAACGTTGTCTTTTACCAGTAAATTGTTTATTTTGAGTGCCCATAGCTGCTTAGCTTACATGCCTTCCATCACTGAATCTTTAAGTCAGGAAATTGTTACAATTGGCTAGTTTCACACGAGTTAAGTTGGTCTATAATTGGCTATTTTATACGAGTAAGGGAGTAGACGAACTGAGCCTGACCAGGCGTAACCGCGCGCGTTCCCTACGCCGGGAGGTGGTTACAAATACTACTTCATGGCAAAATTGGTTTGCCGGCGTTAGGGGACTATTACTTTGGCTACTTTCCATTTCTCGGGAAGTTGTCCTTATTTTAGAATGGCATTGAAAATGGAAGGAATTAAGGCTATTCAATTTTTCTTGTTAATGGCGATGAATTGTTAGCAGAAATCATATTGTATCGGGAGCTTTGTCTTGTTGGTAAAATTTTCGATTAAATGTTTCAACTTCTCGAGCACTTAACGGGACTGATTGGGGCAGCTAGTGCAACGGTGAATCTTAGGAAGTTGTAAATGTCTTCTTCTTCTGCTGCAGATATTTGCGGAGAGAAATATAGGCAACTTAATTCAGTTTTCTGCTTCGTCGCTTTTTAGTCCTGAACCCATCCGTTTTTCGTGATGCGAGGAAGGCTGTGTCGGCCTCTTTCAAGCTTTGGTGGTTTTCCAAAGAGAGTACTCTGAATTTGAAATTGGAATCAATCTTATAAGTTTTTCATGTAGAGCGTTGTTACGGTGTTCTCGAAGTAATCTTTTGAGGTTTTGTGAAGCAGAATTTAGCCTTCTTTTATTTGTTGGATCTTTAGTGATTTGCCGTTGTTTCTGTAATTTGCCTTTTGCTATCAAAAAGGGAATTTTGGGAGGGAAATACGAAATGACAAACCGAGTCACGTTAACAACAGGTTAATTAGTATAATAAGTAAATATAAATAATTTACATTAGGTAAGAAATAAAATCATATACGTACCGCGAGCGTTAACTGCTTCCAATGATCAAACGGCACGACGGCCTTTCGCCCGCGGGCTTTTCGTTGCCGCTCGATCATTAGGGTCTCCAAAACGCCTTTGCTATTTCCTAACCGTTCAAGATGTAGCCCAGATGTAACCCACACGTTGCGTGAGTTGCAGGTACAACCTGGAGCGCTTCAGCAACCGGCTGGGCCGCGTGAAGCGCTTCCTGGACTTCCGAGAGCCCATGGAGGACGGGTACTTCCCCAAGCTGAGCACGCTGCTCGCCTCCCGCAACTGGCCCCCGCGCCAGGCCGGCACCAGGCTCAAGGTGCGCCCCACCAGCGGCTGCCCACCCGTGCGCAGTTGCTGGCGGCTTCTCCGACCCCCAGCCCATCACCATCCACTTCCTTTTGCCATCACAGGCGCACACGGAAACGCCAAGGCCCGAGATCATCGTCCCCTATATTATTTCAGTAGCATACACACCATCTTTATAACAATCTTTATAAAACAGATCCAGCTTATTTTCTTTGAACGTTTCTAAGGGATAGTGCTAAATGCACTCTATAATATTTCACCAACTCCATATCGCTCTATTTTTTTGTATTTTCAAAAATTACAAAAATAAAGTTTTTTGCACTTGCCTCTCACGTCGTTAATATTTACATTCGCACCGATTTGTTTACATTATTTTATTTATGAGTACATGTGCTTTAAATAATAACATATGAAGCTTCTCAAAAACTCAAAAATATACAGTGAAAACGAACTGAAAATTTCGCATTTTCAAAACCACTCGATCACCATTTTATCAAAAAAGGCAAAATTGTTTTCTTCAAATTTTTGATGCATATAATGCCACTTGCACTCCATGAGATGACATAAGATTAATTTCGCTGCATTCTTTTGTTTTTTCCAAAAATTATACAAGTTATTTTTTAAGATCTCTCAACCCGGTACATTTCCTGCGATTTGTAAACACTTCTACATCTGTGAGTTAATGCGTCTAAAATGACTTTAAATGAAGTTTTTTTAAATAAAAAAGATTGTGTGAAAAAAAGAGCTGGAAATTTCACATTTGCAGAAAACGCATAAACGCCATATCTTAAAAACGACTCCGAATTTCTCAATGAAAATGGACACTTATGACGAGATTTTACTCGTCCTTAATATTCTTAAAGTAATATTTCGGTTCTACTATTTGGCAACCGAAAAATTGACAAAAAATGAACTTTGGGCGATAGTAGTTTGCTCAGTAAGAATGTACTTTGGGCAGCTAGAAAGAGGATGGAGTAAGAACCAAGGAAATTAGAAAACTTTACTATGATAAATTTTGTGCCATTCTGTTCTTAGTTTTCTTTTCACTATAGATCAATACCGCTTTGTATAGAAATAATTTTATGTTATGACAAAAGGAAATAATCCATTTCATATGCCATATTTTGAATTTTTCGTCGATTTCGGCTAACAAGTCTTTTTTACCTAATTTTTACTGCATTTCTGGCTGCTTTCATCGTTTTAAATATAATTTAAATGGTACTTGCTTCAAATAATATTTGTGAGATGCAACAAATGTTGTCTATAGAATTCCTGAGTAGCCTATTCGATTTCTTCGTTTGGAAATTGTAATGTCAACCGTTGTGAATATGTAATCTAAGGTTCCTCTGGCTCCTATCATCACCATTACCGGTTCGGCCGATTTGGGATAACTAAACACAGATTGCCTGGTAAAGAATAGCCCATACCAAACTTTTGCAAGCTCAGTTTTCTTGAGCGAATGGAAGGAGCTTCTGTACCATCAGTAACGTATTCAATAGTTTAAGTTGTTCATTCGAACTGGTTTTAATAACCTTTTTTCGTAATTTTTCTTTGCTTTTAGAGCATTTTAAGAGTATTTTATTGATTACTTTCGGCGATGTTACAGGTCATCAAAATCCGCTTCCTTGCTATCACTTATGACTCCTCGTTTTAATTTACCTCTTCGTCACCTTCCTGTTCTCTCTTTAAATCATTTGTGTTATTGTGTTCAGGCTACTAATTACGATATAGGACTAAAACGCACTCTTTAATATCTTCACATAACCAATTGAAATATGGAAACGTTGGATCTCTTTAAACAAAACCGGCGTTAGATGGTTTTATGAAAATACTCGGATTTCTATGAGCTAGTTGCGGAGGAAGTGCAAGAATTAGCTCTACCATTTTCTTTGGATTACGGAGATATTTCTTTCATAATAAATATTGGAAGTATTTTATGGTGTAGATTAAGTTGGTGTTCTCATTTTCTGTATTAAACTATCTTTAGGAATGTATTCATTATTTGTTTACATCTACGTTGTTATTCTTCGATTTTTTCAAAGTGATCGACGAGATTAGGCCATTATAACACCTCCTGCTTGTAAAATTAATCTTTCTAACAGAGCTAAGCCCGATTCTGACGCCGCGTTCTGCTCTCCAGGACATTCGCCGCCCGGACAAGCAGCTGGAGTTCGACATCGCCGACCTGGAGCGCTGGAGGGACCGCATCTACGAAGCCATCCACAACGGCCGCCTGCAGCGGGTAAGCGGCTTCGCACGCGTATACAGGACATCGGGACATCGAATAGAGACAATTTTAAGCTTATTTGGTCCGATACTCTCCTTCAAAATTTCACATGGCTGAGCCGCAATAACAACTTAAAAGTTGGTTTAAAAAATGATTTCCAGGCAAAAATTTACTTGGCACAAGCAAAGAAACACTCCATAAACACGTAAATTGATTGTTATTTACTAAATAAATGAATATATTTGTTCAAAAAGAAAAATTGATCACCTTGGTGTATTGATATAAATAAAACACCGTGATGTATTGATCTTTTTCCTGTCACAAAGATTGGTTATGAAGAAAGCCCGGGTAACGACAGGTATTTTGCTAGTATTAACATAATTTCTAGTCTCAACGACCTCTTCATATCCTGCGATTGAAACTATTATTGTACATCTCACATTTTGTTGTATTTAGAATATTTTGGACTAAGGTAATCCTTGAATTTATTATAGTAATAGCGATTTATTTGTGTTGTACTGTGGCGAATATAAACCTTTAGCCTTGCAGGCAATTGTCACATAAAGCACTGCGTGATCGGGAACGCAACAAAATCCTAAGGGTTTTCCCATTACAGAAGGTCCAACACCCTTCTGTTCGTTAAAATAACAATCATATGAACTGTTATGAATAATATTTACTTCAATAATAATTTCTTTTTCAGGAAGATGAAAACGGAACAATTGTGCCCATTATAAATGAACAAGGAATTGATTTACTGGGAAACGTTATTGAAGCTTCCGATCTTTCAATAAACAGAAACTTGTATGGAGATATGCACAACTTAGGTCATCTTGCCATTGCGTATAGTCATGATCCTGATCACAGACACCTGGTATGTTCAAAATAATCTTAATTTTCTTACATAAATGTTTTGTTGTTACATTTTATATATAACTCATTTTAATAGTCTCATACTTGTTCATTTGATAATACTTTTTAAACTTGTGATGCTAAAATAGCACGTACTTTGTAGCTCGTATTTTCATGCAAAATTACGCGAAAAGTACTCAAATTTTCAAAAAATTGTACAGGATCTAATTTCAAATTCTATCTTTAGGGAACAGATTTCATTAAGGTAAAAATAATTTATTTTTAATTCTTTAGTTCGAGGAAGACGCCGAAAAAATTTTGAACTTTTGTAACTTTCGAAAATTCAGAGTTCAACGAAAATGAGACCCAGGTCATTCTTTTGGGCCTCTCTTATTTTATACATGAAAAATTAAGGAAAAGATTTGGAGTGGTTTTTGAGAAAATGTTTTTTATACATTGCATTAATATCATGCGCAAATTACGCAAAACGACTCGTTTTCTCAAAAAATTGTACATGATCTGTTTTAAAGAGCTGATAAGAGATTCTGATTACGATAAAAATTTATACCTTCAACTTCGAAGTTTTGAAAGAGACCACCGTAAATGAGACTAACTTGAATTTTTTGCGTTATTTTACAGGTTTCGGGAGACAATTTAAAGAAAAAAATTGGAGCCCTTTTTGAGAAAATAATTGTTTAAACATTTTGTTGAAACATTTTTTAAGTGCCTATATTTCACACAAAATTACGTGAATACTACTATTTTTTCGAAAGATTGTAAATAATCTTATTTCCAAGAACTGTCTTTAAAGAACAAATTTATTTAAAAAAAGACATCTTCAATATTGTAGTTGCAGAAAAACGCCAAACAAATTTCTAATATTACAAATTTCGAAAAACCAAGGCTTCAATGAAAACTAGATCCATATCATTATCTTAAGCGTCCTTTAGGCTATCCGAAAACAAAATTTAATCAAAAAAGTTGTTGCCATTTTTGAGAAAAATTTGAAAATTTGATTGAGGCTTTATATAAGATAAAATACACCCCAAATCAAAATATCTGTTTCAAATATAGATTGCCTCGAGTTTCTTGAAATTTATCGAGGAATATCAATTTTGAAGAAAATCGCCAGAACGGTTTTGGCACTAGCTTTGACCATGGACGGACGGGCAGAGAGAAGTTTTGCCGTCAATCGATTTTTCATTATCAAGGTCCCATAAAACATGAATTCTGATTATACTGCGTGTCAGAGTAAGTAATTTACTACATATTGGAGCAAGATTTATTCACATTTTGTTTACTAGCGCGCCGCAAGAGGAGTTATTCTGTCGAAAACTCGCCGAATTTCCGGCGCACACTTACAATACTTTCTCTTCTTACGAAGTAAGAGCGAGAAAGTAAAAATATAATTGAATTGTGCTGAGGAGAAAGGGAACAAGTCATTTCTTGCAACTTTTCAGGAGAAAGGACACGTTAAACTCACATTTTATATTATCCTCCAATTTTTCCGTTTCAATTCACTGCACTTCACTTTTTTGTGATTAGAATTTGGGTTTAATTATTGTTAACACATTTCCTTCCCTCAGTGTCAGAATCGAGTCTGTAGAAAACTGAGTACCGGAATCATAGATATAACACATTTTGCATATAACTATTTAAGAATATTATATTTGTTTAGAACAATCAAGTATTCAACGAAATAAATATTTTTATGGCAAAAATTGGCTTAATTTATAACCAATTACGTATTGTAAAGTGTTCGAAAAAAAGGCAATCACATGATGCAATTCTCTTTAGCGTCTTGAACTGATGTATAAAATTTGTTATCTCTTTTTCTGGATTTGAATTTCATCTTTTGCTGCACTTTATCGTTGCCCTACGATTTTTTTTTTTTTTTGCTTCATGCTCTTCACATTTGCAGCAAATACCCACTCGCGGTCCCCTAAATCTAGGCTTAATTTTTATAAATGAAAAAAAAAGTATTGCATTCCCTGGATGTAAAGGCACATCTAGGTATTCAGGCGCCCATGGCAACCATAGAATTTGCGTTCCTGTTCGGATACTTCAAATTAGAGTTGTAATTGTTTTTAGTGGGTATACTCTAGATAGCGTTCCCGGAAGCAGCTCTCGTGTCTGCCATACCGTAGATAAGCTACTGCATGAATACCGCGATACACATTGCAATCATTCAGAATCAAAATTATAGTACTGAGGGGAAACGGAACATGGCGACTTAATCCCTTCCTCTGCGGTACAGCTACCTCGATCAAGCAATTCATCGCCTAAACACTGTACAACTTTCCTTGCCTCAAATAACAACTTTCCAAAATAAAAAATGCATTTTGACTTGTTCCCTTTCTCCTCGTGCTGATTCAATTACGAACTTTATAGGCGGTTGCATGAACACTCACGTTTTATTTTTCAGGAAGATTTCAACATAATGGGGGACGGAGCAACGACCATGCGGGATCCCATGTTCTACCGCTGGCATGCGTTCGTGGACGATATGTTCCAAGAACACAAGAAAACTCTAAATCCCTACACAGTCGAAGAGGTAGCTTTCAATTAACAGAATATTTTTTCAAATAATTTTGAACTGTTAATATTACACAAGGTGTATTTTTATTTACTCTACACACTCACGTGTTATCTTGTTAATGTATGGTCTACTTGCAAAACCTTGTAGGTCTGAAAATTGACGAAAATAGAGTTTTGGTACAATTGGATTAATCTGACTGACCCACTATGACGAGACCCCAGAAGGCAAGCCCGCATTGCAGTGCTATCTGTCGGTGATTGAATGTAGTCAATGCTTCACTGGCTGATAGAGTCACAAATCAGTGTTTTGTCTCTGCTGAAAAATTACTGAACACTGACACACGCGACCATCGAAAGCATCATGGAGAGATGTTTTATAATCGGAGAATCATGCCCTCTAACAATACATCTTTTCTCTTTTGGCGACCCTTTGCTAGTGCATTTTGAACCGTATCACCATAAAACAGTAAATCATTTCACTTCTGAGATAGTTTTCATTTATCCCGAAATTATTTAATTCAATTATTTATCTCTTGATGAGATTATTTTTTTCTTGCTACTGTGTAAAAGCGCTGCATTTGAATGGAATTCATTATTTAGTAGCTCTCCATTCAGTGTGTAAGTACCTGGATATGTGGCTTAGAGCATCAAAAGGATTCCACTCTCGACGGTGGCGGGGTTTTTGACCCTAGTTTGTCAGCTGGGTGGAATTCAGCCGCTGTCTGGAGGAGAATTCCAGAGGCCGGCTGCTCTGATCGGTAGTTTTCCGTGATTTCCCCCATCAACAACAGGCGAATGCCGGAGATAAACCCCATAACAAACGGACCATGCACTGCGCTTGATCTTACTCACTCTTCCTTCTCCTCTCCTCACCCCACACCTACTCACATACACACATTCACTACACTACTAGGCATGCCAAGAGACCAGTCGGGAGGTAGTAAGAGCGTGTCCCGCCTGGGGCGGTGCCTCGCTGGTGGGAGGTACCAGATTTTCCAGGCTCACAAGAAACTCGTCTGTCTCTTCTACACATTGTAGTTTGTGTCCAATGATTTATTTTTTTTTGTATATCAGCATATAAGCGACTTTTTCTGTTGCAAGAAATCGCTCATAATTTGGCAATTTACGATACGTTCGATTTCGTCATCACTCATTCAGCCAATCGCAGCGAGAGAATCTTGGGGAGGTAGAGGTAAACGGAACAGCCGACCACCATTCTTTCGCACAGATATCAAATACTAGAGATGACACAAGAAAGTTGTTTTGCACAATTAAGTTTGATTCTGTTATAAATTTATACTGTTGTTAAACAAAACTCGTTTATAATGTTGCTTCATTGCATTCGTACAAATTTGATAACTCTCTCCTAACGTCGCTCTTTTTCCAAACGTACTCATGCAATAAGCTTATCATTGTAAACCAAGTGACCTCGTAAACCATCCTCGGCAACAGCAGATCCAAAAGGAACGACTTTGCCGAAGGGGATTTGCACAATCACCATATGAAAACCATCATATCTCAGAAACTATTCGTGTTACAGAAAATCCAAACACATATTTAGAACCATGGCATGTCACTTAGGAACACGTATTTGCTTTTCTGATGATTTTCATTGTTGACTAGGGAAGTTCTTATTTTGGGGAATACTTCGCACATTCGCAATAATTATACCATCTTATCACAAATAATATACGTGATAGAGAAATTGGAAGTACATATTTGAAACTAGAGCGTGCTATAAAGTAAATCACACATAGTTTTATTTCTGATGATTTTTTATGGTTGGCATGTGTTATTCATTACACAAACACACAAAAATCAAAAGTTGTCACACCAAAGTCTTAACACATGCCCCTCTACATACGACGACGAGCTAAATCCGAATCTGAAACCAGAATTGCTTCTCCACCCTCCATTTTTTTAACCGCAAAAAAGAACCGTATTTTTTTCTTTCCGGTTTGCTGTCAGATCCCAAGACTTGACACATATGTATGTCGACGCGCTGAAATCGAAACTGAGGCCAGAATTGTGCCACCACCGTCCGATTTTTTATATCGCAAGAAACCATCGCGAAACTGTATTTGTTTGTATTCGGGGGTTGTCAGACCCACACCCTTGACAGGCGTTTCTCTAGATATGTCGACGCGCCGGGGACTCACGGCCCGCGCGCCGTCTACGCGCGCGTCATCCCACCTGGCCAGCACCAGCCCTTCACCTACCGCATCCAGGTACCAACTGCAATCCGGTTGTCTGCTTGCATCTTTAGCTCTATGAGTAGACGTGAGTTCCCAGCGCCCCCATCGCTGCATATGCGGCGTCCATTCGAAGCGACGAAGGTCTTTTAGTGGAGAAACATATTTTCTTACGGGATTCGCTCAAGAGATTCAAAAGAATTTATAAAAACACGTCTTTTTTCGTGTTTTGCGCTGCGATTTAGTGAGTAAGCCAGAAATAAACCAAACCACTAAATAGATCTATCTAGTGGCGTTGATTAACTTCAGTATCTAAGCACTTTTCGCTTTAATACGCTATAATTTTTCATGCACATTGGGCAACACTGATGATTGACATTTTTAAGAAAGCCGTTGGTATGTTCTGTTTATTTTTCTTTATGAATGCTCAAACCGTATCATGCTTAAGATTCTTACTGTTTGAGAAAACTAGGTTTTTTCGATTGAAATGTCAACTGTAAAGCCCTTAATGAGTGCAATGCAGATGCATTTCCTCAATTGAAATTTTTAGGCACATTCATGCACTTCAAACATCATAAATCAAACACTATTAAAGATACTAATACTCTCTGTGCATTGTGTAACCCATGGAAATTATTTAGTAAAATAAACTAAATAGTTAATCGGTCACTAGTTTTCAAATTTATGAACTGAAATGCTCCAGGGCCAAATTTTAACAACATTTTTTCTCAAATAAACTAGTCATGACTCTTTAGTAGTATATTCACCATTCTAAATTTCATTAACTAGATAATTCAATTGTGATTAATTAAAATGAGAATTATCAAACATATCAACTGGTGAATAGTTATGATGTTTGAAGTAAAAAAACCTGCATTTTCGTTTCTAAAATTTGTAAAGAAACTGAAATTTGCTTTTGAAATATTTGATCTCTAAAAGCATAACGAAATCAAAGGTAACAAAAGAGAAAATAAAGTAGATCCAAAAATGCTAGAATTCTTTCTTCTTGGGTAGACAGCTTAAGTGGAACAAGTGAAGTAATTTGAACAAGTAATCGTGCATTTTAATTTTTATTCCGATATGCTTATTACCATATTTTAAAAAAATAAATTTGGGAAAAACCTACGACCAGTATTGCATTGGAACGTATTAAATTTGAAGAATTTTTATCTAAATATGGAGAAAATCTTTAAACTGTGGAGTAATGTTAGAGAAAGAATGACGTTCCTACGTTCGACTCCCACTTTCCACGTTGCTAAGTGATACAATTTTAGCGATTTTCAATGAATGTACCATAACTTATTTCTTATTAAAAGTTATCTAACCACTATATATAAACAGACCAACAGTCGCCTTTTTAATGTTTATATAAAAATTCGTATATAAACGATTAATTAGAGCACTTGTTCAGAAGTAGAATTAACACAAATTAGACTGCATTGTGTAGATTTTAATAGGTCTTCAAAAAATTTAGGGGAGAAAATATTCAAGTGTTAAGTAAACCGAGACAGAATCAAATTTAATTGTAGAAGATTTTGCAATAGAATTTTCGGAAACTAATGAGAAATGACCTTATATTAGGGTTAGAGAACAAAAACCCAGAGAATAGATCACATAGAATCATTTTTTTGTAATATGGGCATATTAACAAAAAATCGTAGAAAGGTACCTGTTGTAATTCTAACTATTTCATATAATACCTGAAAGTATTTTTTGCGGCGATAATAACTTAAATTGCCCAATTATTTACCCGTTTAACATCCGAAGGATAATATACAAGTCAATACACATATATGCCAACAACATATGGGTTGCTAGGAATTTTGAAGAGGAGTGTAACATTATAAGCTACTATGATCATTACTAAGTCCAACGCTAGATTCTGCTAAGACATATTGGTGAGTAAATGTTACGCACGCAAGGAATTTTTCAAACACGTTTGGAAAATACTTTTAAAACAGTAACAGCGTCGGCGATGCCACATTCAACTACTTTGTAAGTAAACAGCGACATTTTTCCTCTTCCTAAATATTGGAATGTCTCAGAATAAAATGTGTTCAAGCTCCTAGGGTATGTAGCCAAAGTCGAAAATGATTACTGGTTACTGTTTGTAAATAACATTAAGGTTGATAAATGTCAATTATGAAGTTACAACAACGCATGTCTCTGAAAGATAGGCCAACCCAACATCGATTGTGTTTGCGGGCATGCATTTTCAGAAGTGATTTTGTTGGCCTGCGGCTGTTGCCTTTTATCTTCAAATTTGCCCAGGCGTTATTATGTAAATCAAATTTAAATACGTCGTTAATCAATTAACGGTCAAGTTAGTACACTTGATGAAATCAACTTCAGGCGTGCAAACTTTTGGTTTCGATTGTTATTGATTTCTTGCTTTAGTTAGGCCGATATCGCTGAACCGACAAAGCGCTGTCATACTCACATCGGCTGGCATTAGAACTACTGACGAAAAATCGAAACAGGCTACTCTAGAATTCTGTATAGCAACATATGTTTGAAAATATTATTTGACGGCAAATATTCATTAAAATAATATAAAATCAATGATATTAGTGAAATGGCATTAAGAATTACGGGAAAGGGTAAAAATTTCCCTATTAGTGGAAATCGACGAATAATGCAAAAAATGTCATATAAAATGTGTCATTCTTTTTGTCATAACATAAATTAATGCTAAACTTAAACCGAATTGTTCTAAGGAGAAAAGAAAAAAATATTTCAATTAAATTCGCCACTCAGCAGTAAAACCGTTACGTTATTATTAGATCAAGGGTTTTAAATGGTTGCTCACAATATTAATTCTATTAATTTGTTGTTCCAGTCCCTTATTTGGAATTTTATGGACAACCACAATCACTTTTGCAAACCATATTTTAAAATAAGGGACGATCAGCGAATAAATAGAGGCGTGCGCATGTAACTTTTAAGAGTTGTTGTTGACGCAGGTGGGAGAACGCGGGCGGCGAGCGGCGCGGCACGCGCGCCTCTGGGCCTTCGGCCCCGCCACGACGTCGCAGCAGCCCGCTCCCGCTGCGCGACCAGCGCGTCTACTTCGTCGAAGCTCGACAAGTTCGCTTCACCGTGAGTGCAGGCACGAGAGGCAGCTGCTGTCTCATACAACGACGTTACACCAAGTGCCATTTCCCCAGTATTACTAGGCAACTCATGTGCAATCGCGTTGACCACGTCTGAAATGTACCTACCGAACTCTAACATTCTCTACAATGCACATGTCTAATTACGTCAAACTGAGTCCCAAACTTTTACGCAAAAATGTGGCAGTTCAACCCCCTCTACACGCCCTACACGTTTGTAATATTTATCCTGAGATGCATTCATTAAGCACGCAACACAACGCTTCTGCTAGATCCTTTACGACACTGACGAGCATTTCTGTCATGTGCAATGCAATTTCTTTGCAGATGATCGTTGT